TTAATTTACCTTTACTTATTCAGGTAAAAATGTTCATGACTGGAGCTGGGGTTGTGGCTTAGTGGTAGAGCACTTGCCTCCCATGTGTAAGGCAAGTGGGTTCGATCCTCAGCACCACATAAAAAAAATAAATAAATAAAAATGTTCATGACTTCCTCAACTAAGATGAATATCCATACCTTTTGGAAGTTTAGTAACACTGTATAGGTCTCCTCTGTAGCTTCTGTTACAATTTTATTTTAGAGTTTAATTAATATTTTTTTCCATGTTATAAATTCTGTGGAGGTGGATACCATGTCTGTGTGGCCTGTCCTTGTATCACCAGTGTTGGACACAAAGTAGCCGTTCATTAAATATCAATTGACAAAGTAGTAATCCAATGATGATAAGGTTGGGCTTATTGTACAATCATTTGAAATAAAGTAGATGTTATCCAAACATGTGAAGGTATTGCATAGATAATAAATGAAAAAAAGAAAAAAAAAAAAAAAACCAAAGAATAAGGCACTGCATGATTCCATTTAATAAGATGTTCAAGAACCGACAGAACTTGATGTTGTAGACATCACAATCTTAGCTATTTTCTGGAGTAAGGTATATGGACTACAGAGCAGTCTATGAGGGGAGCCATTAGGGCACTAGAAATGTTTTCTCTACCAGGATGGTGGTAACAAGGAGATTCACACACACAACCTACACTAACATATACAAATTTATCCCTTTTTAAAGTAAGCTTTTCTATATGTCCTATAACTCTTAAAAAAGGAAAATTTGAGAGGCATTTGGGGAAAATTAAATAGAAAACTAAATACTGCTGACAAATATGCCCACAAAACTTTGGTAAGCAAAAATAGACACTTTATAGGCCAATATACATTATGATCTTGTTTTATTTTTAATGTTAATTACAAATAGACAAATTATAATGTATATATTTTTAAGGTACAAAATAATGTTATATACACACACACACACAGATGTATCTATATTTACACACACACACACACACAATGTGGACTGATTAAATCAAGCTAATTAACATCTATCCAAATACTCACTTTGTGTGGTAAGAACATTTGAAATTACTCTTAGCAATTTTGAAATATACGCTATTAAGTACAGTCAACATGCTATTCAATAAACATTAAAAAACTTATTTATCCTGTCTAATCATCAACTCCTGGTTCCCTTGCCCCAACCATCATTCAACTATCTGTTTCTGTGAATTCAAATGTTTTAGATTCCCCATGTAAGTAAAATCAGTATTTGTCTTCCCATGCCTGGCTTATTTCACTAAGCACAATGTCCTGCAGATTCATTTATACTTCTGCAAATGATAGGATTTCCTTCTTTTAAAAGATGAAATGGGCGGGCTGGGGATGTGGCTCAAGCGGTAGCACACTCGCCTGGCATGCGTGCGGCCCGGGTTCGATCCTCAGCACCACATACAAACAAAGATGTTGTGTCCACTGAAAACTAAAAAAGTAAATAAATATTTAAAAAAAAAATAAAAAATAAAAGATGAAATGGGGGCTGGGTATAGTGGGGGAAGTCTGTAATCCCAGCGACTCTGGAGGCTGAGATAGGAGGATCTCCAGTTCAAAGCAAGCTTCAGCAACAACGAAGCACTAAGCAGCTCAGTGATACTGAGGCTCCCTGTCTCTAAATAAAATACAAAATAGGGCTGGGGATGTGTCTCAGTGGCCAAATGCCCCCAAGTTCAATCCCTGGTACACAAAACAAACAACAACAACAAAAACCCCCCACATTTTCTTTACCTATTCACCCACTGATGAACACTTAGTTGATTCCTATCTTGGCTGTTGTCAATCAAGCTACAATAAACACGAGAATCCTGATGTCCCTCCATACTAATTTCATTTCCTTTGGATATATACTCCGTAATGGGATTGTTGGATGTTATGAAAGTTCATTTAAAAATTGTTCATTTTCCATAATGGCTGAATGAATTTACATTGCCACCAAAAGTATGAAAGGCTTTCCTTTGTTTCATGTCTTCCCTAACACTCTTATCTTTTTGATAACACTCATTCTAACAAGCAATATCTCACATGGTTTTAAATTTCATCTCCCTGAGGTTAGTCATGTTGAGGATTTTATACACACACACACACACACACACACAAACACCCCTGTTGGCAATTTGTATGGCTTCTTTTGAGACTATCTATACAAGCCCTTTGCCCAATTTTAAACTGATTTGTTTTGTTATTGAGTTCCTTATGTATGTTGGATATTTACCCTTTATCAGAAGTAAGGCTTGCAAATATTTTCTCCCAGTTCACTGGTTTGTCTCTTCCCCCTGTAAACTGTATCCTTTGTCATGCAGAAGTTTTTTAGTTTGATGTAATTCCATTTTTTGTTGCCTTGAGCTTTGGGGGTCAAAACCAAAAAATAATAATAATTGCCCTAACCAATATATCACTTTTCTCTCCATTTTCTTCCAGTATTTTTACAGTTGCAGATCTTATATTTAAGTCCTCAATCCATTTTGAATTGATTTTTGTATATGGTGTGACAATTAAGGGTCCAATTAGTATACATGTGGGTATCAGTTTTGCCAACACCCTTTATTGAAGAAACTGTCCTTTCCCCATTGGGTAATTCTGGCACCTCTGTGGAAAAATCAACTGGCTGCAGATGTGAGGGTTCAATTGTAGGCTCTCTATTCTGTTCCACTGGTCAATATGCTGTTTTAATTACTATAGCTTAAAATCTGGAAGTGTGATGCCACCAGCTTTGTTCTTCTTGCTTAAGATTGCTTTCACTATTCAAGAATTTTCTGTAGTTTCATATGAATATTGGGATTTTTTTTTCTATTTCTGTGAAAAATGATATTAGGGTTTTGATAGGGGTCACACAAAAACTATAGATTGCTTTGGGACAATCTACGAAGGACATTTTAACAATATTAATTCTTCCAATCCATGAACACAGAATATCTTCCATTTTTTGTACCTTCTTTAACTTCTTCCATTAATGCTTTATAGTTTTCAGTGTATAGATCTTCCACCTCCTTGATTAAATTTTTGTTTTTGCTATTATAAATAAGATTGCTTCTTGATTTCTTTTTCAGATAATTCATATAAAAAAAGCACAACTGATTTTTGTATTCTGCAACTTTATTGAATTCATTTATTAGTTCTAACAGTTTTTTGGCGAAGTCTTAGCGGTTTTCTACACATACTATCATGTCGTCAGCAAACCACTCACTTCTTCCTTCACAGTTTAGATATCTTTTATTTCTTTTTCTGGCCTAATTTCTCTGGCCAGAACTGCCAGTACTATGTTGAATTGATATGGCAAGAGTAGACATCCTTGTCATATTCCCTACATAGTGTTTTGATAAAATACACATATTTGTTCTTTCTTCTGATTTCTGCAAATGACTGAAACCCCAAAAAACTAGTGTAGGCAAAAAAATCCATATATTGACACATTTCTGGAAAGTTCACTTAAGCCCACATACCCATAAATAATTTTTATTAAGAAGTTCTGTCAGGGCTGGGGTTGTGGCTCAGTGGCAGAGTGTTTACCTAGCATGTGTGAGGCACTGGGTTCGATTCTCAGCACCACATATAAATAAATAAAATAAAAAGGTCCATTGACAACTAAAAAATATTTTAAAAAAAGAAAAGAAATTCTGTGAGCCAGGCATCGTGGTGCACCATCAGTAATCCCAGCAGCCTGGGAGACTGAGGCAGGAGGATCCTAAGTTCAAAGCCAGCCTCAGAAACTTAGTGAGGCCCTAAGCAACTCAGCAAGACCATGTTTCTAAATAAAATATTAAAAAGGGCTATCAATGTGGCTCACTGACTAAGTGCCGGGGTTCAATCCCTGATACCAAAACCAAGCCAAAACAAAACAAATTCTGAGAAACTCTCACCCATCAGAAAACTAAAAAATATTAGGGTACCCCTCAGAAGTGAACATGAAAATGAAAAGAATTGTGTTTGTACATCTGGAGAGAAATGTGCTATGCATTTATAGAAGAAAGTGAAAATAAGCTATAGTTTTCAAACATGGAGTCCCTAGTTATAAAGACACAAAGATATTCTCTGAAATATAGGCATTTGAGCTGCTTCTCAGATGCACAACTTTATAGCTTACTTCAAGTAAATAACACCAAGAATTCACTTAATGATTCTGATTTGCAACAGAACTACAGGAAATTCCAGGCTGACAAATACTTAGGACTTCCAAATATAAAAGTATCCCCAAGTCACATGAAATCCAATTCACACACAAGGCTTTATTTTAAAAAGTCAAAGTCAAAAGTTGACACATAATATTAGTTTTACAACTATTATATTTCAAAGAACGTTAAAGAATCAGGTATTTTTTATGTATCCCAAATATTCCATTCTTTTAGTCATTCATCAATCATGAGTACTCATAATAACAGACTACACCAGGATAAGTTGCTGGTATCTATTCTGATTCACAAAAAAATGGTAATTTCACATGGTTCAATCAAAAACTCAACATTGTTCCAGTAGGTCACAGTAGTGAAAAGACAAGCTCCCTGATGCACTTACACTATGAGAGAGAAAGAGAGAGAGTGTGTGTGTGTGCGTGCGCACGTGTGCATGCAGTGTATACACATACTTATTGGGGCCAGGGAAGGGGACATAAATGAACAACCAAATATGGTATATCAAATATTTCATACTTCAGAAAATGATAAAAACATAGGAAATAGTTGTTGCTCTTTTATATGGGTGAACAGGGAAGGCCTCAGTGATAACATTTACGTAAAATCATAGAGAAAGAGGCTACAGGCACGACAGCAAAAGGAAAACCAACCATGAACTCAAACCTCTAAAACTGTGAGCCAAGATAAATCTTTCCTCCATATAAATTGATTCCCAAGTGTTTTGTTACAGTGACAGAAAGCTTATTAATAAGAACACTCATCTTTAATTCATGTTTTCAATCTAATAAATATGTGTAACGAAATACACAAAGACTATTCTTACATCTTTTGGAGAACCTGGGCCATCACAACCCCATTCGTTAAATCTTCCACGGTCTGGCATGGTGTATCCACGTTAAATGTCTGGATCTGAAGGAAAAAAAAAGATTCTATGATTAACTAGAAAAGATTTCTTGGGCTTTTGGGGATTGATCATCTCATCTTAGGGGTTAAAATAAATGTTTTAAAAGAAAACAATTGGAAACTTCTTCCTTTAAGGGAAACTTCCTATAAATTAATTATTATTTTAATTTTTGGCAAGACAGAAGTTGGGTAGACTAGCCAACTTCCCAGCATCCCTTCTAACCACAGATGATCAATTTAAGAAAATCATCGTACCTTCAGCCCCTTCACCAGTGACTAAGTGAAAAACAGGTTGAACACAATTTGGAACAAAGAGATACACAAAGATGCTTCTGGGAAAGAAAAGTCCACCTATTGACATGAGTAAGTCTATATTGCCTCAATTATTGCTAGCAGTCATCTTTTGAATACTAAAGCAATGAGGCCAAGGTAATGGAAAGCAGAGAGGAGGAAGAGAAAGTACTTGGGGTAAAAATTGAACCCTTAAATTAAAAAACCTTAAAGCCTCCTATTGTGTGAAATAAATTTCTTTCTTGTTTAAGCCTAGCCAGGTTTAGGTTTCTATTACTCAGTGCCAAAGTATCTTTATATAGATGGAGAAGTCATATTTACCATGGTTAGGTTAGGCATTCAGTTCACTTTGATTTCAAATATATTCTGAATATGAACTAACTTCATATTGTCAACAGGATGTGGCTAAGAAATGTAAGAAAAAGTAGTAGAGCCAACAATAATTACAACCAGAAGTCCAATCTGGATTTAGAAGAAAATAAATCACTAGGAATAGACAGACATGGGGCATCCTCTTTTAGACCTTATAATTTAGTGAAACATTTATAAGAAGTGTAAACAGCAAACACAAAAGACTTTATAAGTGAGAATGTGATATACTATAGGAATTAAAATAAGCCTGGTATGGAACTGGGCATAAAGGGTGAAGTTTTCAAGCTGTAGGAAGAGATGGAACACAGAAATATAAAATAGTAAAGGATAGGACTAAAGAAAGAAACATTATCACCAAAATCTCTGTAAGCCATAGTAGGACTTTATCCTAAGAGCAATGGGTAGTAAGCAAAGGATTTTAAGCAGGAAAGTGAAGTCATGAGATTTAAGCTATATAAAGATTATACTGGATGCATTTTAATAGATTTAGATGAGGATAAACTAGGAAGTAATGATGGAAATACAGGAAATGATGCTCAGGTGCCCATCTATTTGTATTTATTGGGTTAAAAAAGGCAAAATTGCAAGGTCAAAAATATGCCTGTTTTAAAGTTCTAGGATTTTTGTGTTTTTTTCTTTTGAGGTGGGGTCTCCCAATGCTGCCCAGGATGGGCTCACAATCCTCCAGCCTCAGCTTTGCAGGTAGCAGGGATTATAGGTACATACTGCTATACTCAACACATTTTAAAGTTTTTGATAAATACTGCCAAACTACCCTCAACAAAGCTCATGTGTGAGACAAAGCAAGAAAATTTAGAGATGAAATGGTTGAGTCATAAGAGGTTTAACATAACTGGTGCATTAATCCCTGGATAGGAATTAATTTGGTGGTTTCTATAGGCAGATAAAGTATGGCTGGAGGAGGTAAGATGTTGGGGGCATGCCTTTGGGGTTTATATTTTGCCTGTGTTGAACAGAGCTCTCTACTACCTGATCATGACCTGAGCTGCTTTCCTCCATCATACCCTTCTGCCACAATGTTCTGCCTCACCTCAAGTCCCAAGGAATGGAATTAGCCATCTATGGAATTAGACCTGTGAAACCGGGAGCCCCAAAATAAACTTTTTCTCTTTAAAATTTTTCTTGTGAAGGCTTTTGGTCGTAGCAATGAAAAAGCTAACACAGAAATTAGTACCAGGATTAGGATCACTGCTGTGACTAACCTGACTACGTGGTTCAGAAGCTTTGGAGCTTTTTGAAATTTGTGGAAGGAATTTTGAGAAACAGCAATGCAAGCTGGAAAAGTTTTTGACTGTTGTAAGCACAGCTTAATGGGTAATTATGGTGGGAGCTCAGAAGACCAGAATGCTGGAAGGCCTGCGCACAGTAAACACCAAGCTCATAAGGTTTCAGAGGAAAAGGAGGATTCCATTGGAAATTGGACTAGAAGCCATTTGTGTTGTGTTTTGGCTAAGAACTTATCTGCATTTGTCCATGTCCTGAGACATTCTGTGAGGCTGAATTTAAAGGCTTCTTAATTTGGTGGAAGAAATTTCTAGGCAGCATAGCATTCAGGGGATGGCATGGATATTGCTGACAGCTTTTAGCCAAGTTTATTTTGATAATCAGGAGCAGAAAGCAAAGCAGAAAGATTTAAAAAACTTGCAATTTGGCCAGAAAACTGATTAAAAGTGGGGTAAAGCAATGTGTGTGTTGTTAAAGACATAGTTGTTGTTAAGACACATACAAAAGTATTGTTTTTTAAGACTCAGACAAATTAAAGTCACTAAAGATATGCTAAAGACTCCCCTGAGATGATAGTAAAGATGGCTGGAGGACATCTCAGGAATTGGCAAGACCAAACCCATCTTAGGCTCAAGGGTGTAAAGTAAAAATCCTATGAGCAAAGACCAGAGACCACTAGGGCACCCTACTTGCACATGAGGGAAGTAAATTTTTTCAACATGCCCAGCCACCCAGGCACTCAAAGGCTGCTGTAGTCATGGTCCCTGGAGGCTTGGCTACTGCTCAAGATGGCAGCAGACCTTGGTATTTACCACATGGTGCTGGTTCTGTAGGGACTGCAGGATGCAAGAATTTGGGAGTCATGGAGGCTTCCACAAAGATTTCAAAGCAAGGCCTAGAAGGCCAGGCAGTGTTGCAGGGTCAGATCCCTGCAGTCTGTGCCTATAGAGCAATGTGTAGAAATGTGAAGAGAAAACTGAAGCTGCAGTGGAGAACCCCCAAGATTCAAAAATGCCAGTACCATGTGATGCCTGTCCAGGAAAACTGCAGGAATTGATCAGAGACAAGCCAAAAGAGACCATATGGGCTACAACCAGCAAAGCCATTGGGGTGGAACTATGCAAGCCCTTTGGTGAGAATGCCATGTGCCCCAGATGCTGGACATGGAGCTCTAGAACTTGTTTGACCAATTGAATTTCAGTCTTGCTTTGGTACCATCCCTTCTTTTCTATGCTCCTATTTTTCTGAATGGAAAAGAGTACTCTGTACTCTTTATATATTGAATATGTTTAACTTGCTTTTGATTCTTACAAGAGCTCATGCTGAGAGTTTGTCTTGAGTCTCAGTGGTGACTTGGACTTGAACCCTTGGACAATGCTAAAATTGCTAAGGAAACTCTTGAAAATGGATTTTGCATTGTGAGATGGGCTTGAGCTTTTGTGGGCCCAGGGAGAAATATTATGGTTTAGATATTAGGTGTCCGCTAAAAGCTCTTAAGTAAGACAATGCAAGAAAGTTTAGAGATGAAATAACTGGGGTTTAAGAAGTTTAATGTAATCAGTGCTTTAATCCCTGGTGGTAACTGTAGGCAGGTAGGGTGTGGTTGGAGGAGATGGGTCCTTGGGGGGTGTGCCTTTGGGATTTATATTTCATCCTTATTTAGCAGAGCTCTCTGGCTTCCGGCTGGTAAAGTCCTGAGCTGCCTTTCCTCCACCACACCTTTCCAACATGATGTTCTGCCTCCACTCAGGCCCCAAGGAATGGAGTTGGCCACTATGGAATAAGACCTGTAAACTCATGAGCTCCAAAATAAACTTTTCCTCCTCTACAATTTTTCTTGCCAGGTCCTTTGTTCACAGCATGAAAATCCCCCACTAAAACCGAAATATTGTAGCAATTTACTCTCTTACTAACAGTGAAAGAATTCTACTTCTCTGCATTATTCCATCTATAAAATCTTTTAAAACAGAACTGTTAACAATAGAGTCATAGCTTCTTCAAATTTTACATAGAACAGTCTCATGGGTAATAATGGTTAAGTGGCAGAGGCCAAGGGAATTATCTTAAAGATCCTCGTAGAAGGTAGTTTTTACTTAGGCAAATATTTGGGAAGGTGGTGAGAAGCTCTCAACATAATGCATGCACTAATAAAATACTAGTAAATGAGCTAGGTACAGTTTTACATGCCTATAGTCCCAGGCATGTAGCTGAGTAAAGCAGGAGAACTGCAAGTTTGAGGCCAGCCTGGGTGACATAAAAAGACCCAAACTCAAAAAAAAAAAAAAAAAAAAAAGTAAATGAATAAATGGAACAAATAGATAATCATCTGCAGGAACTGATTTAAAACTTTACCATATGATCAGATATTACATAATGTAGTAAAAACTTAAAAATAAATTAGTACTTATTTTCATTTTAGCAATGATAAATAAATTAATGGCCGTTAATTTATAAATTTTTAAAAAAAGCCTTTCTTGTAGGTTTGTTTAGAAGGAAAGTGAAGCAACAGGGAGGACACTATCTCATTTATCTCTTCACCACTAACCTTAGTACAATGTCCCATACAGAATAAGCCCAGAGTGTATAAATATTTCTTCAAATGTAGTGAACTAATTTTTTTATATTTATTTTTTAGTTGTAGTTGGACACAATACCTTTATTTCACTTATTTATTTTTATATGGTACTGAGGATCAAACCCAGGGTCCCGCATGTGCGAGGTGAGCGCTCTACCACTGAGCCACAACCCCAGCCCTAGTGAACTAATTTTCTTAAAATACTTTTTTAATTATACATGAAAACAATATCTTCATTTTGTTTATTTTTATGTAGTGCTGAGGATCGAACCCAGTGCCTCACATGTGAGAGGCAAGTGCTCTGCCACTGAGCCACAACCCCAGCCCAATGAACTAATTTTAATCCCTAACTTTACAAATTATTATATAATCTTAGATATTTCATCTGTGTTTCCATGTAAAGACAGGGAAGCTGGGCGCAATGGTGCATACCTGTAATCCCAGTGCTCCCAGAGGCTGAGGCAGAAGGACTGACATTCAAAGTCAGCCTCAGCAAAGGCAAGGTGCTAAGCAACTCAGTGAG